CCCTCTGGTAGTAGATCAGTATTTATCCCTAGTACACGAATGGACTTTGGGAGCCCACTCCGCATAGAGGGATACTCTCTCAGCCTAGACACACAGGGGAGGGCCTAGGCCCTGCTCCAAATGACATAACAAACTTTGAAGATCTCCCATGAAAGGCCTCGCCCTCCCTGGGGTGCAGAAAGGGGGTGGGATAGGGGACCCGTGGGGGGCAGGGGAGGAGGGGAGGGAGAGGGAACTGCGATTGACATGTAACACAAGTTTGTTTCTAATTTAAATAAAAAAGGGAAAAATAGTTAAACCTGATGGTAAGATAAAAAATAAAAATAAAACTGATGCTTGGCTGTAGCTCACAAACATTTATACTGATTGATGCTCTTTTATATGGACCTGGCGGTGTTACAGGGTGAACAGGTCCCTGGGGCACATATTCTCACCACTGCAGGCATGATGCAACCCAGGATGGAACACTGAGATACCCGCATCTACTACACATTCTGTTCTCATGCATGTCCACGGTCATCCACTTAGCCAACCTCAATTCCCCTTCAGGAAAGCTACAGGGCACTGTAAAATGCACTTAGTAGGAAAAGAAAAAAATAAGTAGAAGGAATTGATATCATAGGATGTTAGAGTTGAAGAAATGACATAAACTGTCTATACCCAGTATGTGACATCATGTGAGTGTATAAACATAGCCAAGCTTAACCTGTCCAGCCTATGTCAGCCTCACCCTCACTTTGTACAAGTGAGGCACCTGCCAGGAAGCTTGTGTGTGGTGAAGGTATCAAGGGCTTCCCGATCCATTCCAATTCTTTCCAGGTGACCTCTTCCCAGCCCTGACTTAATTTGGTTTACCATTTCCTGACTGTCAGAGCAAGTTAAGAACCCAGAGGCGCAAGGTGTATGTAACTCGAGAAGATGGAAGGGTTTTAAACAGGGAGGACTGAAGGCTAAAAGTGTGAGACACTAGGGGGAGTCAACAGAACAGTCTTCTGGACGGGAGCTGGAGCCTCAACCTGTTACTACCGTCGAGAGACAAGCTCTAACTGAAGTCATGCAGCCAATCACCACAATCAAGTGTTAGCTAGGAGGGGAGAGGACGATTAGTTTATGCTCTGGCCATCAGCCTGAGGACAGTGTAAGAATAATGTCATACCTACGCATCCAAGATGATGCCACAAACCTTACCAGCAGTTAAAAACGTTGTCATCAGATTGGTTTCAAGTACAAAACTAGGACTCCTGTAGCTAAGAGTGGTTCCCTAGTGCCAGGGTTACAGCTGTGCCCGGCCAGGCTTTCTTACCTGGCTGCTGGACCCAACTCAGGTTCTCATTCTCACACGACAAGCACATTACTAACTGAGCTGTCTCCCCAGGACCTAATCTGTTTTTAAAGAACCTCTTTTCATAAGAATAAGACTCCAGTGAATCGTGACAATAAATTGGCTCATATATTTAGGAGCCGGGATATAATTCCAATGTAAACTAATTATACTTCAGCGTTTCAACCTTCATTTCTGCTCATATCGAGAGGGGGCTCTCAAGAAAAACACAGCATTTCTTTCCTTGTGTGGCTAATTATAATTAACAGCAGCTGGCTGCCCAATGAGCCTGCCCAATCACTCCAGTGATAAAACTGACTTCCACGCAAATTACTTCAGCTGCTTTGCTTACTTCTATTAGTTTTCTGACCATAAGCACTCTTTTGTCTCCACCTGTCATTAACCACTGTGGAGGCATGCCAGTTCCCTACAAGATGATAACATTCCATTTTGTCTTTTATCCTTGAGTAAGAAAATGAAATTAACTACCAGATGATACACATCCCCAAATCCCTGGAAATGGATTTTTATGGGGGGAAAAAAAACAAAGTTTCCTGTCACACATGGTAAAACTTGAGACAGAACATTTATATTTAATAAAGTCAAAGCAAATATGGGCGATTCCAATTAGCTTGAATAACTTGTTATTGTACCTTTTTAATACAAGTTCTGAAACTCTATTTTAATAATTAAATTAAACTAGAACTTTGCCTATGGGTTTAAATACTCATGAGTAAAAATGTTCAGAAACACTGTCTTTTTCATTTCAGCTAACCCTAACCTACCATCACTCTTTCCACCCAGAGGGAATAGGTGACCTGCCTTAAATTTTCAAGGTGAGTGACAGCACTCCTGGGGTGCTTGGGTTTGGAGCAGTCCTCCATTCTGTAACACGCAAGACACAAGATAGTCCATCCCTGAGACGCAGCACTCACAATATGCAGAGAATCCTGAGGTGCAATAGGCTGGTAACATACAGTTGGGAAGGTGACTCTAAAGGGACACCAGGGAAGGCACAGGAGCTCCAGGCACAGGAAGCTCAAAACAAACTTAGACCTTTGACCCAAAGCATCATGGGCCTCAGAGGGACGCTGCTAGTGAACATGAGCTGGAGATGCCAGTGCAAACTCAATGGCAGAGAAGCTGGGCTAGCTGACTACCCTGAACTTATGGTACCCTGCTCACTGCCTTTACTTTCTCTTGCAGGACCAGGCCAGCAAGCTTCTCTGGCATTTATCACTATGGGCACAGTTAGGGCTCCCTGTTATTCTGTGATGTTTGAGTTCAGAAATTTCCAGAAAAGCTCAGCATCCAAAATTAACCCCTGGCAAAGGCTTGCTGAATCTCAGCAAAATCTGGGAAAATTACTATTGACATCAATTTCTTCCCTGATGCTGTCCATGTCCTTTGCTGTGGTGAGTCCACTTGTGGCATGAAGTCTCCTCCCTTCGTGACTCCATGGAAACTATGCTGGACTCTAGAATTCATGGCAACTAATTTCTCCGATACTAACTTCAATCCCCAGTTTAATTATTTCTGTTCTTCAAAATGTTTTTTTGTTGTTGTTATTTTTTTTCCCAGTTGGGTTAGGCTCTCCTGGGACTCAGTCTAGCCTAATTAGTAAGTTTCCAACCAATGAGAGACTCTGTCTCAAAGGTGGTAGATGACATTTTTAAGGATAACACTGGCCTGTACTCTGGCTCCATATGCATGTGCACAAACGTGCACACTCCCCCCACATACACACACAAACATACTTGCACACAAGCTATAGTGGTTTGAGTGAGAATGGCCCCAATAGGCTCATATATTTAAATGCTCGGTCCTGAGTTGGTATAACTATTTGGGAAAGAGTAGGATGTGTGGCCTTGCCAGAAGAGGTATGTCACTGGTGGGAGGGATTGCTGGGTTTCAAAAGCTGGCACGGTTCCCAGCCGCCTCTTCTCTCTGCCTTGTGCTTGTAGATCAGGACAGCTCTACCTCAGCGCTATGCTTCACCACGCTTGCATGCCTGCAGCTATGCTCCCCTCTGTGACTACCATGGGCCCTGACTCTTTGGAACTGTATACCAAATTAAACCATAAAAGAAAATTAAACTTTCTAAGTTGCCTTGGTTAATAGAAAGTGACTAAAATACATGCACACATGCACATGCATACTTGAGTAAATTCTTAAACTCTATTCTACCAAACACTAGAGCTATAAAATGATCCCTGGAAATAGGACTTGTCAAACACATTTGAGGAATGATTTTGAAAATGACTATACGATTGCTCAAAATATGCTCTTCAAGTCAAGTCATACAGCTCTGTGAACTCACAAGAGAACAGAAGATTTACTTGGGACAATAACCCATGACTGGGAATGATGTCTGCACTTAGAAGTTTTAAGAATCGGCAAGTGGTTCGACTCTTTTCTTTCTGCAGAAAACAACAAAGTCCCAGATGAAGGGAGTTAGCTCAGTCAAGGTACAATATAAAGACAATGAGGAGCAGAGTCAGCTTAGCCCAGGACTTGTGCCCTTAGCCAGAGCAAGGGGGATGGGGACTCACAAGGAGGGTACAGGCCTCTGCTTTAGACAGAGTGTAGGACTAAAGAGGACTCTGTGGCTTTTAGCCAAACATCTGGTAGGTGCCTGCTTCAGTACCAGTTAATAAGCCAAACCTGCATTAGTAAATGCCATACTAGTAAATCAGAAAATCCCAAATCTGGGGACTTACAAGTGCAGAAAAGAATCTGTATTTAAAAACAATGGATCCAGGAATAGGAGATCACATTTATTTCTTAAGGAATCCAGATGTGCACTGAGGCCCTGTGTGATTGAAACTGGTCTTCTGCCACGCAGGGTTAGCACACACTTCTACCCCTGCAGGTTTTTCAGTTTACATCACAGAACAGGAGGTCATTTTATGAGAAAAAAACAATCTAACAGGATTCATTATGAAAAGCATGGAGGCATACAAGCTACAGACTACGCATGTCAAACAACAGGGGGGAAAACACGAACACCCTGCATTTACTATTTCACAGACAGTAATTTACTCAGATTTTATCAGGCCAAATTTGATTTTTTTCTTAAAATCACACAGTGCAGTGATTGTCAGAATAGCTCATTTTAATATTATCAATATGCCCAGTACAATATCAAGAAACTAAGAATATGCAAAACTCACATGTACACAGGATAAATTTCTCCTCTTGTTAGCAAAGTATGTAATTTCCAAGAAAAGCCTTCAGCTTCCCAGAGCTGTCCTTCACCTCACTCAGCTCTGCAGGGGAATCTCCACACCAGGAGACTCAAGGAAGAGTTTCTGTATTTTCAAACTTCCAAACCTAACACACAGAACTTCCAGCTACATTTAGTGTGTGCTGTCACCTACAAACATGTGTCCTTCCAGAAGACAAGACCCCAGTGCCTTAGGGACTTCTTTATCCCACAGTGACCACCACTGAGAATTTTTACCATAGCTCTTGAGGAGCACTGCCGGAGCACTCCTGGAGAATTGCTGGAGCACTCATGGCTCTGGGCTCTGCCCATGATGTTAATGAGATATTTACCTTCCTAAACCAATTATTACAGCTCCAACTCTGACTTTTTCTTTCAGCTTAGCATAGACAATAGCTTCTCGGGTCACTAAAAGATGATGATGATGATTGGAGGAAAGAAGGAAGAACTAACCTCTATGACTGCATCTCCTCTAGTTAGCAGTAGGTGACTGTATATCTCTCCTGCCGTCTTAGAAGTTTGCCTCTGCTGATCTACAGCTCTTCTTTGCCTAGCACACCACTTTAAAAACAACAACAAAAAAATAATCATCAGTCCCAACAATAGCACCACGGGTATCTTGGGAGGGCTTCAATATCACACCTAAAATGATTTCCAGATGTCCTTCTAGCATGTCAAGCCAAAATATAAAATACAGGGGCTGGTAAGATGGCTCAAGGCCACTTGCTGCCAAACCTGATGACCCGAGTTTGAAACATGGAAGCCACGTGGTAGGAGGAAGAGAATGGACTCCGGGAAGTTGTCCTCCGACCTCCATATGTGTGTGCACTATGACATTTGTGTACTTACATAAATAAATACACATAAATAAATAATAAAAAGAACTTTAGATAACGCCTTATTAGGTTTCTCCTAGACACTGAATAAGCACCCTCTAAGGTAATGGGAAGCTTCAGACCTCTGAAGCCAGTGGCTTTCCCTCCATCCTGACTTGCCATGACCATCAGCCACGCTCATCACCACCTCTTACTAAACACGGCCCACCAAGGCCATCTTTTGGCCAGAACGCAGAAAAACCCTAAGCAGTCTAGTAAGATCCTTGATATGCCAAGAAGAGTTCACTGCATCCTGAGGACATTAACATCAGCTCTGTTCACAAGTGCATCAGAAAAAGTCACTGGCTAAAAGAGCACCGGAAGCTCACTCTTCACCTCTGAAATACATTAGAAAGACACACTGAGTGCTGTCTAAAGCAACTGCCCAAACTTTGTTACAAATCTCTAATTACAGCACATCTTCAAAATCTCATTTATTTTTTTATACTGTTATAAAGTAATTATAGCTATATATCTTAACATATGCTTAAATCATTGATACATTTTACCATAGCCAACTTAAACATTCCTCTATGGTACACATTATTTCTTTCTTTCCTTTTTTATTTTTATTTTTTTATTTTTTGAGACAGGAACCTTTTTCTATAGTATTGCTAATGTTTCTATAAACATCTTCATGCACAAAACTTCCTTTTTAAGATTATTCCCATTTTAAGATCATTTATGATAGTATCAGTAACAAAGGCCTCTTGGTTAAAGTATACACATTTAAATTTTTTATTTCTGGATATCACTTCATGTGTATGAGTGTTTTGTCTGCATGTAAATATGTGTACCATGTGTGTGCCTGGTGTCCATGGAGGTCAGAAGAGGACATCAGGTTCCCTGGACTGGAGTGACAGGTGAGTGTGAGCTGCCTTGTGTCCTAGGAACTGAAGCAGAGTCCTCACCAAGAGTAACAAATGCTCTCACTACTGAACTATCACCCCAGGCTCAAGAATAAACTTTTTAAAATGTTTTTCAGGACTGGCCACATTGTTGACAACTTAAAGGGCTATTACAATTCTACATGTCACTACTAAAATTCTTTGTTGTCCTTACACCAAGAATTGATCTAACAAATGTTGCTCTCAAATACTGTGATTGGCAGGAGAGACTGACTCATTGTTCTAAAAGGCAATCTGGGTGATTCTGGGAGCCCCAGACTCGGAATTCTACTTCAAACACTTAATTCTCTAAGATGAAGGCAACCCCCCAGGGAAATGGAAACCAACCAACTCACCAAGGGAGAGGTGTCAAAGTTACCATAAACGGAACTAGGATAGAAAGTTTAATTTCTGGCTAGGTGCAGTTACACATCTTAATCCTGAAGCTCAGGAGACACAGGCAAAAAAAAAAAAAAAAAAACCCTCATGTTTGAGGCCAGCCTGGGCTTCACAGGGAAGCCATGCCTAGAAAATGAGCAAAGTTTCATTCCTTTCATTCTGCAGGATTATATACATACATACATACATACAAACATACATACATACATACATACATACATACATACATACGTCTATATTACTTTACAATTAAAATAACTTTTAAAGTGAGAAAAAAAGGACTTGAAGTGATTTGCGTCCCATACATAAGTAGGAAGGGCAACTATTACCTACTTCTCCCTCTTTTACTTTCTCATCTGCCCAACTAACACTAAAAACTGGTGATAAAAGCCAAGAATAGCTCATTTTAGGTTCAACTTGATTGGATTACGGACACCGAGGCAGCTGCCGACATATCATTCCATTGCTGTGTAGGAAGGAGTTTCCAGAGGAAAGCACCAGGCAAGTCAGCCTGGTGCAGAGGGAAGTACAGATCAGATGCCTCACCTTCCACCTAAGTGTTCAGTTCTCTTTGGTCAACCACCATTTAAAAGTCTTACATAGAAAATTTGAGATGGTATAGACCTGTAAATCTAATGCCTGGCAGATTAACAGAGGAGGGCTGTGAATTCAAGGCCAGCCTGGGCAACTTAGTGAGGCCCTATCTCAAAATAAAAAAGAAGGTGAGAGCTGGCACTAGAGCCCAGTGAACAAATATCCCAGAGACAGATAATGCAAGTCTTAAGTTGTACACCCTTCTGAGCAGCAAGAGACCCTGTGCTACCCTGCTCCACCCAGGATGGGAATGATCCCTTTGCCAGTGTATACAGGGCCCTCCCATTAGCAACTCAGCAACCATCTCAGCTATCAGACCATCTGTCATGGCAACACAGTGCTCATATTTAAGTAATTCTTCCTTTTACATAATAATGGCTTCAAAGTGTTAGTAATAATGTTGACATTTGTTATGCCAAAGATAAGCCACAGTATACTTATTATTTCTTTAAGTGGGTGAACACACAAATGGAAAAACAACATAGTGATTAGTATTATCTGTGATTTCAGGCATTTACTGGGGGCCTTGTTATATCTCCTCCATAGAGAAGAGAGAAACTACTGTAATTTGTCTGTAATCTAATTGTCTAGAATGCAATTTGATTTCAAGTCTATACACCATTAGAGCAGGAACTCTGCATTTTGGTTACCAATCTAGGCTTAAGCAGCCAGTCCTTGGCATGCAATAGATACTGCATAAATACTTATGGAATCATTGTGATTTGTATCAGATACTCCTCAAATATAGAAATGAATTTGAGTGAACTAAAGTTGGCCGGTGGGAGAGAACAGGGGACCGAGAATAAGACAGGTTTTTAGACGCAGAGATGGGGCTCTGAAACTAAAGGATATGACCTCCCTGAAGGCATTGAAACCTTCTGAATCTCGAGTCCCTTTACTCTAGGGGGAGGAAGTCAGTTCTGTGCAACCAAGTGCCAAGACACCATGAAAGAACAGTCTGGAAGGTTGGAATGGAGATGCTGCAGCATGAGGCACTTATGGTAAATGTCACTGGGTGCTCCATTGCAGGTTAATATTGTAAAGACAAAGCAACATTCTGAAATGGGGGAATTACCTTTACCACTGATTTGTCACTCTGGGATTAAGTGGGAGACCACTTGGAAGAAGGCAATCCATTGAAAGCAAAACAAGACAGACAATGAGTGAGTGAACAAGTAAACAGTCAGGCTGCAACTCAAGGCTTCAAACACTATCACTTACAATAATCATTTTACCCAACAGATTCTGTAACCAGGCCTTATGTAGATATGGCCAAATTTGTAGCATAGCTATCAAAAATATACAAGATATCTTTTTGAGGACATCTTTAACAGTAGTTTGTAGAAAGCTCAAAAGCACAGGATGATCAGCCAAACCCATGTTTTAAAGAACAAAAAGGACTCTGAGAAGGGAAAATGCTAAACCTGGGGGCAGGGTTATACTTACTAATAAACATGACCTTCATTTACAGAGCTACAAAAGAGCCCGAACAGGAGCTGAGGGAATGAGGTGCAGGGCGTGGACACGGATCGGCATGCTTATCTCAGATATTCTGGTAACTTCATGTGCATAAGGAACCCCTGACGGAAGTAAGTAAGTGTGTGTGTGTGTGTGTGTGTGTGTGTGTGTGTGTGTGTTCACGTGTGGGGTCAGGTTGGGGGATCCCATGCATATTTTAGCTTCTGGTCCATGGTACCCTCGGTCCATGCCCCCTGAGTGGAGGCTATTGTTGGAAGCTCAAGACTGTCTTTTGGAATTACTGAAAGACCTAGAAAAAATAGAGCTCCACAGTATCCCTCAACCTGGGCTGGAACAGTGAACTGCCATGAGCAGCAAGTGAGTAGAGGCTTCCACGGGAAGCCCTGAGAGCTGAAGGAAGCTGAAGCCCTAAGCAAGAAAGCAGCACAACTGAACTCTGGCGCCATCTAAAGGCTACTCCTGGGAGGAATCGCAAAAGAAGCAGCAGCGAGTGGTCAGGGATGTCAAAGTGCACCCCACAGCCTTGCAGCAAACCCGGCAGGTCTGTAACAGCCTCCTAAGCACACTGAGATCTTCAGCACCCTTGGATTATAGCCGAATTGACCTGGAGTCCTAGGAACAAATAAGTTAAGGTGCCAAAAAAAAAGTCACACTTCGAAATATGCTAAAGCCTGGTGTGCCCTGGGGGGTGGGGGGATGAGGGCAAGCCCAGTGATAGATATGCGCACTCACCTTCTTCCTGAGCATTGGTGCTTTTGACAGTTTCATAAAGGTCAAGTGAGGCTTAAAGCTTCTGCTTTCTCCCGCCAGGATGCCTTTTTCTTGAAATGTTCTTTTTGCAGTCTCTGAAGAAAGTAAGAACACAAAATGCTACTGTAACACATACTTACCTTTAGTTATTGAAGGGCTGATTCAAGAGATGGCTATTGTAGTATAAAGGTGATCATATTATGGTTTCCAGGTTTGTGTTTCTATGGGTTCTGCCTGCATGTGTCTACATGTGCATGTGCTGCTCATGCTTTGTTGTTTTTTTTTTCACATTTGTTTGTCTTATTCTGGCTTGTTTGTTTTATTTACCTGTCTGTTTCCTAAAGAGGGAGGGAGGAAGAAGCCATGGAGTTGGAAGGGTCTGGAAGTGGGGAGGATCTGGGTGTAGATAGAGGAGGAAAAACTCTGATCAGAATATACTGCATGAAATAAAATATTATCAATTAAAAACTAACATAAAAAGATAGCCACTTGGTATTTCTTAGAGACAGAGAAAAAGAAATACAGAGAGTGTGAAAACATGAGAGTCAAGCTTCCAATGATTGCAAACGTGCAATATAATGCACAAAACCCCGACGGGAAAAGGGAGCACTTCCCATAAATTAAGCGCATGTTTTCCAGGATGACACTGACTCTACCGACCATCTCGGTGATTTCCTTATGGTCTAGGAGAGGACTGGCTGGTCTGCTGCCACCTGTCATATCTAAAACTTGTGAGTAAGATGAAGCAAAGAACCTTCTCTAACAAGATAAGAAAAGGGTCTTGGTCCAGGGGGTAAAATGACTTGTTCTGCAAGCGTGAACACCTGAGTTCATTTCCCTATCACCCACCTCATAAGCTGGGCTTGGCTGCACATGCCTGGAATATACACCCCACCTCACCCCTGCATTGTGAACAGAGACACATGGTTCCTGAGAACTTGCCAGTCAGCTATTCTAGCTGAAATAAGTAAACTTCAGTGAGAGACCCTGGCGTAAAACAATAAAATGGGGAACATCAGAGAAGGACACAGACATCCTGCTCTGGTCTCACCTGTGTGCAGCCACATAGTCATGTGCAGACATACACACACACACACACACACACACACACACATTATAAAATAAGAAACAAACACCAGGTGGTGGTGGCACACACCTTTAGTCCCAGCATTTGGGAGGCAGAGGCAGGAGGATCTCTATGAGTTCAAGACCAGCCTGGTCTACAAGAGCTAGTTCCAGGACAGCCTCCAAAGCCACAGAGAAACCCTGTCACAAAAAAAAAAAAAAAAAAAGGAACAAACATCGTGGGCTAAGCCTATTGACTGCTCCAGTTTAAAACCTAAAACCTTGGGTATACAGGAGGAGAAGCCTAGATGGAGCCCAGCAACTTTCCACAGTGAGCAAAAAGAACCACAAGGAGAGAGCAAGACAGCTAGGATTCAGAGAAGAGCACTTAAGCATGAGACCCACATCGAAACCAAACTCTAGGGATCTGCAAAGCATTCCCCAGAATACCCAGTCTCGCATTGATGATATATTTGTACAAGAAAAATGCCTGGGGCTGGGACGCATGCATTCCTGAGCTTTAGAGGTAGCAGCATCAGTGTTTACTAGAGTCAGAAATGCAATGCTTCCTCTTCTGTTAATCAGATAGGCTATTCCCAAGGAAGGGCCTGTGTCTTGAAAGCAGAAGAGAAACTATCGGGAAGGGAGAATTACCAAAAGAGAGGGATGAGGAGGGCAGAGGTAATGTTGGTACCACAACAATTATCTGTCCCGTGACTATGAAGACATAAACTATATAGCATCCTGAACTAGCAACTCCACTTTAAGAATACAAAGGAAAAAAGAAAATATTGGTGCATACAATTCTACATAGAAAATACTGAAAAGTATCCTGAATGAGCACAGACTGACTATAATCTCCACCAATAAAGGTATGGTTGATAAATTATCATATGGCTGTACTGGAAAGATAAGGCTAACAAAAAGAATGAATTAGAACTTCCCTTACCTCTTGGAAGTTAAATACTGTTGTCAGTACACAAGCCACAGACCAGAGCATGCAACCAGGAAGCTGGAATCCCTTGCCCTATACGTGAAAAACTCATACTCTTGAAAGACTGTTAATAAACACCTTTTCTGTAATCTTTATCCAAAAGTGGCTTGAGGGAGGGTTGACACATACAATTAAGTAAATTAAAAGGATAAAGTTGAACCCCAAAACAGTGCAGGGGAGATGGTTCAGGGTAAGAGCACTTGCTGCTTAAGCATAAAGACCCAAATTCACACACCCAGTGCCCACAGAAGTCCAGCATGCTGGTGTATGCTGAGACACATATTCTGATCATATTATGTGGACTTGGGACATGTATAAAAACCCTGTGCTAATCACTGACATCACATGGCTTTTCTTCCATCTTTTATAAAGAAGATGCTGACTTTATTAATTATGTATACAGTGTTCTGCCAGCACGTATGTCTGCACACCAGAAGAGGATACCAGATCTCATTGTAGATGGCTGTGAGCCCCCATGTGGTTGCTGGGAACTGAACTCAGGACTTCGGGAAGAACAGCCAGTGCTCTTAACCTCTAAGCCATCTCTCCAGCCCTTTTTTCTTCCATCTTCCACAGTAATAAAGGGTACACGGCACAACACTAAAAGGTTGGGAAATCAGTGCTGCTGGCTGAGAGCAGAAACTGTAACTTTGGCTGACTAAGCAGGGAAGTTCACAGAAGAGCCCTGGAGAGGCCAGGAAGCATGGAAGGCTATGAAGTCAAGAAGATGTTCCAAGGTCTAGGGAGCCCAAGACAGCAAAATCTCTTCTTCTGACCACGGGGTACCCCAGATGGCCACTGAAGCCACAGTGCATCTAATCAGACATTCAGTTTAGAAGAATCCATACAAAGGGGAGGCAAAGCAGAAAGCCCAGAATCTAGCAAGAGTAGGTCATGAGGCAATCAAAGTATGTTCACAACCATCACTGCCCTCTACTCTAATTCCACTTTGGTCCTTTCTATATTGACACCTTCTTGGGTGTTAGAAGCCTAATCAGAGCTGAAATATTATGCTGAATTACAGAAAAGTTATTTTCTTAAGTCAAGACTGCTCAAACAGTGGCAAAGTCCTATGGCTTAAGCATACGAGGGTGGGCTAATGTACTCAACTCCTAAGGTTTGACTCATGGAATTAAGGCACAAGCTGAAGATTGGAATCTCAGTCTTTAAATCATAAAGAATTATCACTTAGAAGAATTACCACCCAGCGAACAGATCCAGCAGAAAGATGTGGACACACTTGCTGATTTTACTTACTGAGCATGTATACCCAGGAACACATGCACAGTATTTCCTGAGGACAAGTGCCCAGTACACAGGAGTCATGGTACTGTGAACTACCAGGAACTGCAGCAGACAAAAAGGACTCTAGCTTAGCAGAATTCACACAGGGATTGGGAGCATATGCTCTGAGCCATTCTTTGCTCTCTACATTAGATTTTCACATATTTCTTTATTTGATATAACAACCAAGTGCATCTAAAGAAACAGTTTTAAATTTACTGGTTTTAGTTACATCTGATTTTGACATAACTTCTCTCATAACTCTCTAGGCCTAAAATCTTTGATGATATTTATTCACAATATTCTTAAATATCTATCACACAGCACATTTAATTTTCATGTTTTCTCTCTTCAGTACATTGTCTAGGTACATAGAAACGGGGAAAGGGATGTCTTCTTTCTGAGGGGTATTGATTTTGTTTCTAATAACAGCATAATCTATTGCTTAGCCTAAGTATTGGGTAGTGATTATACATACATCACCTTTGAGATAAAAGTTTCCACTAGTGTGATGATTACATGTCATTTGTCATCACTGTTAACTTTTATTTTGAAGGGGAGCTCATGAAAAATTAAAGAGGCTGTCAATTCTTCCAAAGTAACAGAAATTCCTTCAAGCACTAAATTTAAAATCATACAACAAATGCATCAGGCATCCTTCAAACGTCAACTCTGTATGCTTCCTAAATAATATAATTTATCTCAGAGGTAAAGGCGAAAAGAGTTGCCTGAAGAACAATCATTTGGAATGTGTTTTAAGGGGCAGTAAGATACCTCTGAAGGCATTTGTGTCATGGTTGACAACTAGAGTTGAGTTCAAGCCCTGGGACCCACACGGTGGAAGGTGACAACAGACTCCTACAGTTTGTCCACTGCACACACACAAATACACACACGCACACATGCTCATGCAGTCAAATGTTTAAATACATTTTTAAAATATCAGAAGCTCTTGCTGATGATCATTAAAACAATTTAATAAACAGCACTTTGACGAACCTAACAAAACAGCATTCTCTTTTTTCTTTCAGATTTTTACTTATTTATCTTTATATGGATTTTATTAAAATTAATTCTTTTAAAATGTGGCAGCAATAAATTCATACTTAAAAATAAAGAAGTCACTGAATGTCATTTCATGGTAAACTATTAATGTGATTTTAATAGAATCCTGTATTTTGAATTACATACCATTTATTACAAACCACTTATTTCCCTTTCCCCTCTTTTACCATTTCCTAAGGCTGTGACAACACTGTAATTGGGACTTTAGGAATTAGGGTCCCTAATGGAAATACCATGCTAAGAATGAAAGTAGCCCACCCCAATAGTGCCAGCATCGGGAAAATGACTCTTCTGAGGTGGGGGAGAGCAGATCTCCCTGTAGTTCCCTGACTGTGACACTAAGACATGGCACACACGTCCTAGATTTTCTTTCACCTTTCCTATACTTCATAGCACTTCTATGAAGAGGCAGATCAGACAGATAAAGACTTTTTCTTGTGGTAATATATTGTTTATGACCTAATAAAGCTAGCCACAGCCATAGAAGCTGGGCAGTGGTGACATGTACCTTTAATCCCAGCAGTCAGGAGATAGATGGATCTCTGTGAGGTCAAGGCCACCCTGGGCTACATGAGAGTGAATCAGTCTAAAAGAAAAACAGAGCTCAGGCCTTTAATCCCGGCACTGGAGAGAATATAAGGAGCTCATTGCAGTCTCAGGAGCATTCTGAGATTTGGTGAGGAGCAGTGCAGTCTGGAGGTGCAATCTGAGGTTTGGTGGATCTCCCCTTTGGTCTAAGCATTGATAGAGGTGAGAACTCCCTAGTGACTTGGCTGCTTTGCTTCTCTGATCTTCAGCTTGAACCCCAATATTTGTCTTTGGGTTTATATTATTCATGTTAAATTTTCTCTCCACAATTTTGTGCAAAACTGTAAATATACTCATTTTTATACACATATATTTAAGTATGTGCATATATGTGTAGGTATACATATTACATAGTATCTCTTCCTCTTAATAATATAAGCCTGTTTGGGAGCTCAAAAAACAGCCAACGGTCTAACTTTAAAAAAAAGTCACAACAAAGCACATAGGGCATTATCTGATGGAGCTCCCAGTTGGAGAACAACTATTTCAGAGGAATAAAGTTTACAGGGAACAAAGTTTTTAATTTATTTATGTCAGAATATAAAATAATGTCTTCATTGTGACATTTTCATCTTCATTACTTACATTATTGTACTCTGCTCTTATTTTCCACCATGAAGAAAGTATGTTGCTAGAGGAGGGCCTTAACAGTTTAAAGACCTGGCCCTTTCCGGTTGCCTCTCTCTGATACATATTTGTCATTGAATATGGAAATATTCAGCTTTCTGCTTCAGCCACCATGGCACCTTGCCATGAAGGATTCTTAGCCCTCCAGAGCCATATGTCCAAATAAACCCTGTCCTCTTCCAGAAGACCGAGGTCGTATTACCAGCATCCACACAGAAGCCAACAACCATCTATGACTCCCAGTTTGAGGGGATCTGATGCCCTCTTCTGGCCTCTGCAGGCACCAGACACACACATGCTACACAGGCATACATGCAGGCAAAACACCCACACACATTAAAATGTTTTGTTTGGTTGGGTCTTTGTTTGTTTGATTTTGTTTTTCATGACAGGATTTCTCTGTGTAGCCCTTGATGTCCTGGAACTCATTCTGTAGACAAGGCTGACCTGGAACTCACAGAGATCCACCTGCCTCTTTTTTTGTTATTGTTTTCGTTATTGTTTTGGGGAGGTTTATTTTGGTTTCTTGGGTGTTTCTTTTTGTAGCTTTGGAGCCTGTCCTGGAACTAGCTCTTGTAGATCAAGCTGGTCTTGAACTCACAGAGATCCATCTGCCTCTGCTTCCCAAGTGCTGGGATTAAAGGCATGTACCACCACTGCCTAGCTAAAAATAAAATCACTTTTAATGTTACATTTTTAAAAAGTAGAGCTTGTAATTTGCATAAAGGAACTGTGTTTGATTTGTGAGTTCTAAAACAGCCGTCATCTCTTGTAGTAACAACCCTATACAGACATCTTTCTGATGCACTGTAAAGGCTGCTTCAACTCAAAGATTATTTCATCTAGGCAAAGTGGCACATGCAATCCTACCACTTAGGATGCTGAAGCAGAAGGAACTGAATGTCAAGTCAGCTTGAGCTATACGGCAAGACCCTCTCTATATATATCTCTTTAAAAAAAAAAAAAGACTATTCCAAATAGAACTGGCAACTACAGCTTTCTTAGCGTGTCAATCAGATCTGTTTGTGTGACTGATGCCAGTGGTCTGCTGCTGTCTCCCTGCACAGTGCTTTTAGAGTTTCTCCTTCTGAAGTACTGGGAATTGAACCAGAGCTCTGTGCATGCCAGGCTAGTGCTCTGTGACAGAGCTACACCCTGAGCCCTAGATTTTCAAAAATGCCATCCTTAACGTGTTTTTGCAGAAAAACTTTATAAGATGTGAAGGCAAAACCTCATGCTTTTCACACCATTTATCATGAACATGCAGGTCTCGTGTCTATAAACAACATCCATGACGTGTCTGAAGTAAAGACGTGAGTACACATGGATACTGACTGGCCAACACCGAAGCTCTCACTAAGTACACAGCTGTAGTTCTTGCCATTTGCTCTTGTTGTTCCACTGGCAATAGATCCTGAGGGCGTGTGTCCTTACGTTTCCTTTTCCTGGTGCATACTTGCTATTTGCCATCTTTGTATATAGTTTTGCATCAAGTCTAAATCTTTTTCTTTAGACTAAAAGGGGAAATGTAGTGAGAGATCTTACTAGGTACCAGTGGTGCTGACCATGCCTGTTTGGGTGTGGGTGTGGTCACAGGTTCATAATGAGCAGGTGAGATTTAAGTCTAGGGGGGAAAGCAGACTCTCTTGCTGCATTCTGGTTGGGTCTCAGAGGGCTGCTAAGATTGGATGCTCAAAGCGCTGACCCTGGGTTATCAGTTTCTCATGTAAGTGATTTCTCCCCAATAAAATTAACCTGCTTCATCCCGAACCAGTGCATTGTAAATTTACTACCACAAACAGTCTTAGTATAAGCAGTCTAAGAGTTCAAAATTAAGAGAAAAACATTATCAAAATTTCTCCTTTTTGTGCTGCTTGGTGTTTCTGTCTTGTGCTGTAATTTCTGTTTGGTATGGCTATTTGGTTTTGAGGGTCTCACAGCCCAGACTGGCCTCAGATTCACTAAATAGTCAAGGATGGCTTTGAACTTCTGATCTTCCTGCCACTACCTTCCATATCCTAGGAGTACAGTGTGCACCACAATACCCACCCTATTAGAATTCTGAAATGAAGAAATCTAATTTATCTTTCTTGTCCTTATCCCTAAAGTAAGTGGGGGAAAGTAACAAATGATTTGTTTAAATAATGATAATATCTATATGGTTTCTGATTTTTAGGATAATATCATCTTAAAACTCCAAGAATTACACTTTGAGGTAACTAAAGATCTAAATGTGTTACAAAAGTTCTACCCCATTCCATGGAGTTCATAAATAGTAATAGGGAAGGTGTGTGTGTGATTGAGTTGCCCATAACTAATAAGTCACTTATAGCAATCTCTGAGTTCAAACTTCAATATAAACCCACAGCCAGTTGTTTTTTAAAAAAAAATTGCTTTATCTCTCTCTCTCTCTCTCTCTCTCTCTCTCTCTCTCTCTCTCTGTGTGTGTGTGTGTGTGTG